ATAAAATGTCTCTTCTGTCTAGTGTACATGTCTTTGTCCATGTGTCTCTGTCTCATTTCTTCCACTTGTAAACCCACCAGAATTCAACCCTGGGGGACCCAATCTGATTAGGACCTTATCCTAATCACCTCCCAAAGGCTCTACCTCTTAATCTCATACAATTGTATTAAGTCTCGACCTTCCCAACACTGATACAATGGCACACCAAATTTTAACACATGAGTTTTGAGGGAACATATTTAAACCATAGCAGAATTAGTTTGTTCTTCATCAATTTTGGAAATATTTCAGTCATTACTTTCTCAAATCCTCTTTCTGTCCCTTTCTCTCCATTCCCTTGGGCATTCCTATCATATGCATGTTGGTATGTTTGATGGTATTACACAGGTCGCAGAAGTTTTTTTTATTATTTTTTCATTATTTTTTCTTTATTTTTCTCAGAGTGGATAATCTTGATACATTTTCAAGTTCACTCATTCTTTTTAAATTCAAATCTGCTGTTGAGCCCCTCTAGTGAATTTTTTCTTTCAGTTATTGTACTTTTCAATTCTGGAAATTTGATTTGATTCTTTTTTATAATTTATGCCTCTTTACTAATATTTTAAATTCAGTGAGAGAGAGAGAGAGAGAAAGCAACACTCTCCCCTGCTCTGTTATATTTCACTTTTCCCCCTTGATTTCCTTTAGTTCTTTTAAAAAGAAAAACTTTTTAATTTTTTGTTGTCAGAGGGTACATGTATTCATGAGAGAAAGAGTGAGAAATCCAAAATAAGGCATGGTCACACCACAATCTCCCTTTGTCACATCACAATCCCTCTTCCTTCTTTATTCTGTAATGACTCCAGGCATATACACAATTATGCCAGGTATGTCCTTTAATCTGCCAGGGCTGAGACTTGAACCATTGTCATCCATGTGGGATCTCATGCCTAAGCATAACACTCAACCACTGTGCTACATTTAATTCTTGGAACATGTTTGTAATAGCTGACTTAAAACATTTCTCTGGTATGTCCAACATTTGGGCTTCTTTATGGGC